AATGGCTATTGCTCTCTTTCTTAACTGCTAGCAAATATAGATCTTAAAAATGGTTACAAAGAAAATAAAGATAGAAAATAGAAATAATGGTACCAAGTGACAGCTTAATCTTTAAAGAGCTGTAAGTCTATGTGTACACTTAAGACAAAGGACACATCCAGGTACAATTTTTACCCCCTTCTGTGCCTCTCGACTCCAGCGTATCAGGCCAGAGCCAGTCCCTCAATTCCTAGGAAAGACAAATACGAGGTGGGCGTCCCCGTGGAACCTTGGGAGGCCAATCACATAACCCAACCAGCAGATAGATAGTAGACTGATGCTCAGAGTAAGCGTGCTGCTGGACCCATCTTTATACCCATAGGGGCCCGTATCCTCTTTCTTATCTAAGATGCCAAATTGTGCTGGTTCGTCTTTGTGACACCAGTTCTTACAAGGGAGTTTCAACTTAATTTACATTTGCAAGAGAGATAACTAAATTGTGAGTACTGGACATTCTTTACTGGGCGGGAGATTCCTCCCCCTGCGGATGGCTGTGTGTTCGTATTAATATAGGTTTCAGTCAAAGGCACTCCTCGGCAGCCTCTTGGTCAGCAATTGGCGTTGACGTATCTCTGTTTACAGCCATCCAGGGTCACAGCAGCCAGCATATCTGGGCCTTCTGTCAAGGCATCAAAGACTATGCTGATTTTACTGCTCTGTCTATGCCCTGTGTGCTCCAGGCAAGCAAAGATGGATGTTATGGGGGCGGGGGATTCCTGTCTGGCTACAGCAGCTCCTGGCCAGCAGCCCTGCAAGACCCTGAGGCAGACTCCTTGCCTGCCAGCAGCCCCAGACCACTCAAAGCAGCTGGCTGCTCTCTGTGGCTCTCTGCTCCAAGTGCAGGAGAGTGGGTGGCTTTGTACACTACCCCCGCCCCCAGAAAAATCTCTCAGCTTCTATTAGTCTGAAACCAGCCAATGGAATATGAGAGATTTTTCTGGGGGAGGGAGCAATGCACAAAGCTCCCCCTCCTCTCAAACATCCACAGCAGAGAACCAAAGGGAGCAGCCAACTGATTAAAGCAGCAGGTGGGTGCTCTGTACTTAAAGGTCCTGGCAGCCCGTGGGCAGGATCTGGTGGTTTGGCAGGTCGGATCCAGTCTGGATCTTGCCCACCCTGCCCTACACAAATCCCCAACTCTTCCTCAGTACTGGATAATCAGATCCCCGTTTAATTACCTGCAGTCTCATTCCTTGGAGTTGTGCGGATGGAATACTCGAAGCCTGGCACCGCCCTGCTGCTCAGGTGAAGATGATAGTTCCTTGCTTCATCCAGTAAATCTCTACATTTTAGATTCTGCTTGATGATCTCTTCTTTTGCCACAACTCCCATAAGGAAACAAATAGGCAACAAAGGCAGACGTACCTGATGGGAATGTACACGGTTCTGGGTAGCATACTATTATACTGTCGAGCCCTAGATGCTACTGTCATGAATATAGTTGTGTAACTTGTAAATTAAAAAAACCACTCTTCAGTAAAAGTAGTAATAAAAGTCCATTCAAATATAGCTTTGTTCTTTCTGGGGAGAATGAACACTTCTGTCATACTGTTTAATATGCAGAGTACACGTAGCTATAAAACACACTGCATTGAAAGGGTATGTCTACACTGCAAAAAGACCTGCAGTGAGTTGGAGAGTGAGTGGAGTTCACGCTATGGGGCTAAACATAAAAGAGTACAAATACTGGGCTCTGATACTCAGTGAAGGGGGATGATCTTGGATCCTGGGCTCCTGCCTGATCTTGAAATGTCTACACTGCTATTTTTAGCCCCATCCTATGAATCTGAGTCAGTTGAGCCAGGCCCTGAGACTTGCTGCTACAAGGTTTTATTTTCTGCAAGGTAGATATACCCAAAGACTCCAGCAGCAAAGAAAGGTCCTAGCAGGTCAGAAGCAACATGCCACAGTGCTAAAAAAAAGCAATGGATATATGAGAGGTTGCACGTGGGCTCGCAGAGGGCCCTGAATGGTATATACTTTAGGATTCAGATTTGTAGTGCTCTATTCACCTAGGCTATGCCTTATCATTTATTAGTCTCTATGTACAACTGTAAGTGTAGACATACCCTCACTTGACTAAATTCTTCATATAAAAATGTTACACAGGATTTAGAAAATCCACTCAAGGGTGAATGGACTAAGTGGCACTTTAACTGCTTGTGACATAGTAGTTGTTACACAGATAGTACATCAAGTATTGCTGCATACTTCTTTCGCCAGGTGACTTCTTTCTTTTATAGCCTTCAAAAACTCAAATATAGACCTTTATACCAGCATAAGAGTGCTTCTGCTAGTGTAGCTTACTTCATTTGGGAAATAATGATAAGCTATTTCATGTTTCTGTTGATATAAATCTGTCTATACAACAAGAATTTACTGGCAGTACTAGCAAACCTTTGCTAATGTTGATCTCGCCTGATAGCATAGGTTAAAGGATGCTGACAGCTAAGTGGCAGAGTGTCTACAGGCAATGATAGAACTAGCAATATAGTAGTACACAGACTAGCTAAAGAAGAGAGCAAATTTTGGTGCTAGATCAGCAGGGAATGTCTAGGACTATTAAGTCTAACTAGCAGAAAAGACTAGACAGCTTGTCTCCAATGTTTGCCCAAAATCCAGCATGAATTCTGGAAGATATTTAAATCTGTTTTTCTGCTATGTATCTGACTGGTTTGCCCCTTTTGCTTTTCAGTTTCAAAGGAAATTATTGAAAAAAGCAATCTGATAAGGAGTTCAGATAATTAAGCTGCAAATTCTTCCAGCTGAATGACGGAACAGTCCAAAGTGTGTTTTCTTAAGCCATGGATCAAGAAATAGATTAGCACATTCTGTCATAAAAACGAAAGAAATACCCTATGTACACCCCAGAATTTATATCAGAGTTAGTCTCATTACCTTTCATTGTAATTATATTTACAAAAAAGTATTCTGAAAAATGTCCAGCTTGGTGGCAGTTGACTTCCCAGCATTGTAGGAAACATATAATGTTTTAATACTTCTGACTCTCAGCTTTGCCTCAGGACAAATAAATACTTAAAAAAGAAATCATCCCTCCTTCCCCCCCAGAACTTAGTATTTCCAAATGCATTAAGTAATGATGACTTTATGTTCTTATTTAACTATGTATGCATTTTAAAGCTCTCTTCCTCCAAAACTGATATTGTTTTGTGTTATTTCTGACTAGCATGAAGTCCAGTCATCATTAAAATAAATTTTTCCTTTCAGAAACTGGTAAATAATCCTATTTCCTTTTCTGATATCCAAGGACAGATCAGAATTACTTCTGTTCTAAGCAGAAGACTACATACATCTGTAACAACATTTAATTGGAAAATATTATTCAACACAGAATTTAAATGACATTGGCCGTATGCAGGACATGCGCGGTGTTGCACATCTGTCCGTATCAAGGGCCTAGCAGGCTAACCTCTCGCGGACTGCAAACACCAGATGGCTTTTATTTGTCTGCGCTCCTTTTTTTTTTTTTTTTTTTTTTTTTTGCTCTTTTTTCTACAATATACATTTCCACTGTAAACAAAACTTATGGCTTAATCTCTATATGCCACAGGAAAATATACCTCAATCTCTTCCTACCTGAGAAAGTATTTCATTCAACCATGAAGTATGATGCTGTGGATTAGCAAGAAGCCACTTGATAGCTGCACTATAAACCTGTTTCTCATTCTCAATGTTCAGATTGCTAGAGGACAAGAGTTTATGGAGGTGCTGAGGTGACATACTCACAAAGTCCTCACATTCCACCACTTCTGTAAAGTGTTCACAAGCATATCGGTCAGCCATGTCCATCAAGTCAATGCGATTGTGACTCTCTGCAAAGGCCCTCACTGCCAGGCAGTTTGAGGGATGAAAGTGTAGTTTCATATATTCACAGCAGGCTTTTGCTACTAGCTCCACCTGAAGAATGCAGGCTGCATATAAAAGAGGTTGGACGTTATCAACAGTCAACGTAAGCTGGGAGGAATAGACAAACTTCACCAAATCTTCTATTGCGTCTCCATCAAAATCCTTGATCTCAATCAATGTCTGTTTTGCCTCAGCCATTTCAGAAAGAAACATAGCTCTGAAGTAAGGGATAACACAAGCCAGAACCAGCTTGTGACAGGAGATTAGCTTCGAACCAACCTGTCGGGGAGGGAAGAAAAAGACTGTTTAAATGAAACCCCTTTTTTTTAGCTGTAAAGAAAAAATATTCAAATTATAGTTGAGGTTGCAATCTTAGAGTTCCTATACTTTTGTCATATAACCATAAAACAAAAACAAAAGGATTAGACATCTGATTTTTAATTCATAAGAGCAGGACAAAACAATAGCCTATCACTACAGGTTGAACCTCTCTCAACTGGGATTCCCTCGTTGGGCAGGACCATGGATATTGCTGAAAAACCCAGTGGAGGGACAGAGGCAGGAGCACTGCGGGGGCTGGGAACCCAGCCAGGCTGGCTGCAGAGAGGCCAACAGCTGGAAGCCCTGCCATGGGAGTCTAGCTAAGCCCAGGAGCCATGGCAGCGGGACTGCTGCAGCAGGGCTGGCAGAGCCAGGAGCCTCAGCAGCAGGGCTGGTGCTGCCCTGGTAGGACTGGCAGGGTCGGGAACCCTGATGGCTGAGTGGCAGGCTGCCACAGGCAGGCAGTGGGAGTCCCAGCAGTGGGACTGTGGGCTGGTGGAGCTGGTGCTGCTGTGGCAGGGCTGTTGGGGCCGGTAGCACTGTGGCAGGGCAGTGGTTTGCCACGGTGAAGCTGAGAGCCCCAGCAGCAGGACTGTGGACTGCCATGGCAGGGCACCAAGGCTAGTCATACGTGGGGAGCCCGCTGGGAGAAAAGGCCAGAAGCAGAGCCAGGCTGGGGGGCAGTAATGACCTTCCCTGGCCCAGCAAAATCCCTCCTTCTGGACTACTCAGGCCCTGAATGCGGCAGACCAGGGAGGTTCAACCTATAGTTCAAGTCCTTCAATAACATCTCTTATTCTTCTTATAAAAAATTTCCCTCAAACACAGCATCCTTTAAAAAAGACAAAGCAGAACTGGAATTCCCTTAAGAAAACACAATTCAAATAGAAGTCTAGGGATTGAAGGGGAGGTCACTAGTTTTTCTAAGCTTACACACAAATTTAAAGTGCAAATGAAAAATTAATCTTTGCTAGTATGTGTCAATGGCACTCACACTAAGGAAAACAAGATATACAAAGACTGTAGCCTCATCAGACTGAAGAATGGCAATCACTGAAACTTTCTTCTTTCTCTCCCATGAATACAACAAGAGTGAGGAAAGTATCAATCTCTTCCAGAGGCAAGTGAGAGGGTGAGTAGTGGGGGATATAGAGAAGCAGACCATGGATTACTGCCTCTTCTCAAAAATAGCAGGGGGCAGATCCTTCACTGGTGCAACTGTCATTGAGCCTTTCACTTCAATTAGAAGTTTACAACAGTAGAAACTGGTGTACCTGTTTGAGAGTCTTTGGGCTACGTAGGAGGCGAGAGCAACAAGTGTGATGTTGTGGTAGCTATCTAGACCAGAAAGAGGAAGTAGACTAAGCTTCTTCAAACATCTAACAGAAGTTTCCAGATCAGGCCCTGATTCTCATGGGGCACTTCAATCACCCTGATATCTGCTGAGAGCGCAATGCAGCAGGACACAGAAAATTCAGGAAATTTTTGGAGAGTGTTGGATACAACTTCCTGGTACAAGTGCTGGAGGAATCAATGAGGGGTTGTGTTCCTCTTCACCTGCTGGTCACAAACAGGGAAGAATTGGCAGGGGAAGTATAAGTAGGTGACAATCTGGGCAACAGTGATCATGAAATCGCTGAGTTTAGGATCCTGACAAAAGAAAGCAGAGCAGCCAATAAATACCCTAGACTTCAGAAAAATAGGCTTTGACTCCCTCAAGGAATTGATGGGCAGGATTCCCTGGGAAGCTAATATGAGAAAGAAAGGAATTTGAGGAGAGCTGGCTATATTTTAAAAAAGCTTTATGGATGGCACAAGAACAAACTATCGAAATGTGCAGATAGAAGGGCAAATATGACAAGCAACTAGCTTGGCTTATCAAAAAAATCTTTGAAGAGCTTAACACAAAAAAAGAAGCCTACAATAAGTGTAAACTTGGACAAATAGGGAGAAGCATAACAAAATTGCACAAAGCATAACTGAGCAAGGTATGTGAAGAACAAGGTTTTCTACAGGTATGTTAGCAAAAAGAAGGTGGTCAGGTAAAGTGTGAAGCCCTCACTGAATGGGGAAGGCAATTAAGTGACAGATGATGTACTGAATGCTTTTTCTGCCTAAATCTTTGCAGACAAGGACAACTCCCCACACTGCTACACTGAGCAGCACAGAATGGAGAGGAGAAGGGAGCAGCTCTCATTAATGAAATAACAGGTTAAGGACTATTGAAAAAAGCTGGACATACCATTGAGTCAGATCTAATGCATCCAAGGATGCATTGGCCATTATCTTTCAAAACTCGTTGTGACTGAGGAATCACTTGATTGTCTGGGACTGATTGGAAAAAGGCAAATGCAGTGCCCATCCTTTAAAAAGGGAAGGAGAATCTGTTGAACTACAGACAAGTCAGCTTCACCTCAATTCCTGGAACAATCATGGAGCAGGTCCTAACAGAATCTAATGTGAAACACGTTACAGGAGAGAAAGGTGATCAGGAACAGTGAACATGTATGCACCAAAGGCAAGTCATGCCTTACCAACCTAATTGCCTTCTATGATGAGATAACTGGATCTGTGGATATGGGGAAAGCAGTAGATGTGATATACCTTGACTTTAGCAAAGCTTTTGATACAGTCTGGCTTGGACTATAAGGTGAATAGAAAGCTGGCTAGATCATCATGCTCAACGGATAGAGGTCAATGGCTCAATGTCTAATTGGCAGCTAACGGCATATTGGGCTGTATTAGTAAGAGCACTGCCAGCAGATCAAGGAAAGTGATTATTCATTTCTATTAGCACCAGTGAGGCCCCATCTGGAGCACTGCATCCAGTTCCCCTCTTCCTCCCCTCTCCCCCTCCCCCCTCCAAAAAAAGCTGTAGACAAATTGGAGAAAGTCTAACAGAGGGCAATGAAAATGATTAGGGGGCTGGGTCATATAACTTATGAGGGGAAATTGAAGAAGCTGGGCTTTTTTAGTCTGAAGAAGAGAAGAACAAGGGGGGATTTGATAGCAGCTTTCAAGCACCTACAGGGGTAATCCAAAGAGAATAGAGCTAAGCTATTCTCAGTGGTAGCAGATGACAGAAAAAGAAGCAATGGTCTTAAGCTGCAGTGGGGAAGGTCTAGGTTGGATCATTGTGAAGCACTAGAATGGTTTATCCAGGGAGGTGGAGGAGAGGTTTTTAAGGGCAAGCTTGATAAAGCGCTAGCTGGAGTGATTTTGCTGGGGTTAGTTCAGCTTGCAGCAGGGAGCTGGACTAGATAACCTCCTTAGGAATGGAAGGAAATGGCCCACCAGACCACGGTTGTCTTTTCTATAGTATGCCAACCTCTGACACAGCTGGAGCCTTCTTCCTGACTGCTTAGGGCCAGGTGGGAATGCCTCTCCATGGCTGCTGCAGCTCCAACCAGCACAGCTGGAGGAGGAGTGCATGTACTCTGGCTATGGCAGGTTCATGTTAGGCTGAGCAGGGGCCACAGAAAAACCATCTGTCCTCCGGCAGCGGCAGCTCAGGATTAGGTGCCATGGCTGGAATGAAGAGGTAGTGGACAGGAGAAGCCCCCTCCCCTGACCTGAGCATGAAGCTACAATGGCTGGGAATGGGTAAGACACCCCTTCTCATGGCCTCAGCACAGAGCTGCCACAGTTGCCAGGGGAAGGGGGAAGGGAAGGCAAAGCCTGCCACTCCCCCATAATGGAGCTGCTGTGACAATTCTGTGCTGGGGCTGGTAGGTAGAGGTGGCACACTGTGCATTATCCTGAATCCCTGCCCTGAACCCTCTTTCAACATTTGCTCAGTTATGTTAATTTTAAGGACTACACTTGATTTGGTGATTCTATTTTCTGTTTGAGTTAATGAGAAGAAATCCCATTCTAGGCACATCCCATTTTCCTGGAACAACCAAATCCTTACGTTGTTTTAAGTTACAGTAAGAGGAAGCTCTATAGCGAATTTGGTAGTCCTGGTTCTTACCATTTAGGAGAAGTTCTTGAACAAACACACAGACTATGTCAAATATATACAGTAGATAGTTACTATACAACTTCCAAAGAACAAGCTTAAATGTGACTAGTCTATCAGCCTAAACTGAGTCTATAATTTTTGTTATTCCACATAAACCTATGTAAAAATCTGAATCATATTTGCCTAGTTTTATTTATTCAATTCAAACACTGAACATTTTTGTCCCTTCTGTTCAATTAATAAATCTATCAGTTTCAACCAACTAATGTAATCAAAAAAGTTCATTTTACCAAGAAATACAAGCTGGAAGAGATTATATAAGAATGGCCATACTGTATCAGGCCAAAGGTCCATCTAGCTCAGTATCCGGTCTTCCAACAATTGTCAATACCAGTTGCCCGAGAGGGAATGAAAAGAGGAGGAAACTATCAAGTGATCCATCCCATTGGCCATTCACAGTTCCTGACAAACCGTCACTAGGGACATTATCTATCTTCCATTAAATTTATCTAGTTCTTTTTTAACCCTGTTATAGTCTTGACCTTCACCATATCCTCTAGCACAGTTCCATAGACTGACTGGCTACGTCTACATTGGCCCCTTCTCCGGAAGAGGCATGTTAATTTCAAACTTCAGAATAGGGAAATCCGCAGGGGATTTAAATATCCCCCGCGGGATTTAAATAAACATGGCCGCCGCTTTTTTTCCGGCTTGGGGAAAAGCCGGAAAAAAGCGTCTAGACTGGCCCGATCCTCCGGAATAAAGCCCTATTCCGGAGGATCTCTTATTCCTACTTTCAGAGGAATGCCTCTTCCGGAGAAGGGGCCAATGTAGACGTAGCCCCGGTGCGTTTTGTGATGAAATATTTTCTTTTGTTTTAAACTTCCTGCCTATTAACAAGATTTAAGATAATGTCTTGACTGATCAATGAGGTTTGTGTTTATTTTGAGACAAGTTCTCTGTATTATAATTATGGGGGCATTTTTTAAATTAAAATTGTAATTAATCCACAACAAGACAACCACACTTAAAGATTCATGTGAAGCTGCGAGTATAGCTGCAAATACTACTGGTTCCAACAACAAAAAACATTCTACATATGCTGAAGAAAAAAAATGGTTACTCACCCTTGTAACCGTTCTTCAAGATGTGTTGCTCTTATCTATTCCAGTTAGGGTGTGCACGCTCCACATGCATGACTATTGGAAAGTTTTTCCCTACGTGCTACCCATCGAATCAACTGTGGAGCTCCCTCGAGTGGTGCCAATGCAACACTCTATATATGACCCTGCTGATCTGACCTCTCCATAGTTCCTTCTTGCCAGCTACTCTGTTACTGGTGAAGGAAGAAGAGTATGGAATAGATACAAGCAACATATCTCTAAGAATAACAGCTTTTTCCTTCAAGTGCTTGCTCATATATATTCTAATTATATGACTCATAAGCCTGTACCGTGGAGGAGGGGTTGAAGTCACAGTCTAGATGACTCAAGAACTGTGGTACTAAAAACTGTGTCCTGCTGCAATTGTTGCATGATGGCATAGTGTGATGTGAAGGTATGTACTGAGGACCAAGTTGCAGCTCTGCAGATTTCCTGGAGTGGTATATGAGTCAGGAATGGTGCCGAAAAAGCTTGCACTCGTGTGGAGTGCACAAGAAGTGGTGATGGAGGGACCCTGGCCAGGTCATAACAAATATGGATGCATGCATTGATTCGGGAGGAAATGTATTGCAACGAGACTGGCTGTCCTTCATCCGATCCACAGCTACAGCTACAGACAGTTATGATGTCTTATGAAAGGGCTTGGTATGTTCAATGTAGAATACTTGTGCCCCTCTTACATCACGGGAGGGTAGGCATTGTTCCCAGGTATTCTGCGGAGGTTTAGGATAGAACCTAGGAAGAAAGGCCTGGTGTGGAAACTGAAGACTACTTTGTGACAAAAACCAGGTGAAGGCAAAGCTGGACCTTGTTTTGTGAAAGACCGTGCTCCAAAGACAGGTCATGAAGTTCAGAGACCCTGTGAGCAGATGTAACGGTAACCAGAAAGATCACCTTCCAGGACAGATAGAGTAGAGAGCAAATGGCTAACGGCTCAAATGGTGGACCCATAAGGGCAGAGAGAATGAGGCTGAAGTCCCAAATGGGAGCGGGGCGATGAATGGGTGGAGCTGGTCCATCCCTTGAGAAAACACCCTATCTGGGGGTCCAACAAGATCATGCCGCCTGTTTCTTCTGGGTGGAAGGTGTAGATGCCTGCTAGATGCACACAAAATGAAGAGGTTGCAAGACCTTGATGCTCCAGAGATACCAGATAGTCAGCATGGAGATAAAGTATCCAAGTTGCTCTTAGGGATGTCAATGTGTAGTCGACGATACATTAACCAATAAGCCTAGGCTTATCGGAGAATCTTGTTGACTACACACATTCCCTCCCCCCACCCACCTGCTGCCTCTTAAAAGCCAGTTCCCCCCATTATGGGCTCCTTGATGCCACCTATCAGAGGCCTACGCTGATGCAGAAGCAGCAACACGGGGTGGCAGCAGCCCCTGTGTGTGTGGGGGGGGGGGGGGGGGGGTCCAGCAAAGCCCCTGGACCCCCCCCCCCAGCAGACCAGGGAGAGAGGAGCAAAGCCACACGGGTGGCGGGGTCCCTCTGCCTGTGCGGCTTTGCTCGGGTCTCCCTGGTCTGCTCCGGGGGCGGGAGGGCCAGCTACTCTGCAAGGGGAGCGGGTTTTTAAACTGGCTTCCCATGAGTACTGGCTCCCCCTGACACCCCATGCTGCTGCTGCCTATAATACAGAGTCAACAGCATGGGATGGCAGGAGGCTCCCCAGGAGTGGAACTGGCAGCACACTGGCTGCCAGCCCACTCCCAGGGACTATAGAATAGTTGTGTAACTGCTAAGATTTCATGCAATTACATAACTATGCAATTGCCCAAAAATTAAAATCCCTAGTTGCACTGTAGGCACCAGCTTGGGAACTATTTCCATTTTTCCAGGTACATAAGTCTGGTAGAAGGTTTCTGACTAAGGGAACTTAGCAGGCCCATTCTGTGGGGTTCAACCATGGAGTCATGCCATGAGGTTTAACGAGTGCAGATCCAGGTAATGCAGGCGCTTCTGATCCTGCGAGAGGAGGTCTGGCAACAGCAGAAGTGGAATCAGAGTTTATACCAGGAGTTCCAGGAGTGTGAGGTACTAATGCCAGGCCAGGGCTATCAAGATGACATCCACCTTGTCTCTGTGGTGCTTGTTGAGTACCTTGTGGACCAATGGGAACGGGGGAAAGCGTAGAGCAGAATGACGTTCCATGGAATCAGGAAAGTGTCCACCACTGACTGAGATTCCATAACAAGCTAAAGCGTTGGCACTTCTGATTCTTCTGAGTCATGAAGATGTCCAATCAGGGAAAAACCCACTGTCAGATGTTGTGGAGGACATCTGATCGAAGCAGCCACTTGTGGGCAAAGCTGCCTCCAGGTGAATGAAATGGGCTATGCACAAGTCCCACAAGCGAAGAGCTTCCTGGCAGAGTGGGAAGGATTGTGTGTCATTCTGTTTATATAATACATAGAAAAATGCTACAGAATAAACAGATTTCAGTTTAATAAAATTCTGTAGCGGGGGTGGGGAACTTTTTTTGGTCAAGAGGCCACACACAAGTGAGAAGCCCAAAAAAGTGAGGTTGCTTTTCCTTGGTGAGCCTCATTATGTCTGCTGGCACTGAAGATGCCATTTCTCTGTTTATTTTCTCCATAACTGTGTAGACCTTTGTTACGTCATCTCTCTTCTAAACTGAACAGCAAGTCTTTTTTTAATCTCTCCTAATGTAGAAAGTTATTCCATATCCATAATCATTTGTGTGACTTTCCCTAAACATTGTAACTTACTGTCTTTAGTTTTAACACATTAAATAGAAAGTTGATTGACATAATGGTAAATAAATTCAATGAACACAGCATCCAATTGTACTGTATTACCCCTTTAAACAGAGGAGAGACAGCATAGGGCTTTTGTATCCTTAATTATTGGGCTAGTAGGTGCTGAACTGATTTCAAATCAAGGATAAAGATACCTTCTGAGATTCTGAAGTGCGACGGTCTACGACAGGGACTCACATCAGCATGTCTTTAGGGCATAAAAAAATCCAACTCTGTAAGAATGTGTCGGCGATGTAATTGACACTTGTGACTGGCCAGTGCCAACTGACTTGGGTCCCTCTACTCCCTCAGCAGGGCTGTTTAATTGTTGTGTACACATTCCAGTTTCAGTTGTAGCCTGAGCTCTGGGATTCTCCCACCTCACAGGGTCTGACAGCCAAGACATCTATACCACAGTTATGCAGCCCTGAAGCTTGAGCTTTGGGGAATGAAAGTCAGCTGGCACAGGCATCAAATCTGGGCATGATGAATTAACTGCCACAATGAGGGAACCCCATGGCCCAATGTAATATTTGATAATTGTTAATGTTCTAAGGGATTTGGCCTTTCATTTCTCTCGGTATTACCCACAATTACAGTATTCTCCTTAACCAGAAGTGATTTGTATAAGTCTACGATTCAGGATTGACATGTTTACAGACTCTACTTAATAGCCACATCAATTCAAAATTATATTTTTTCAGAATCTAAAGAGCCTTTTATAGTTAGTACTATTCACTTTGACTTAATCTGTCATTCATGGGTCATTTAGGAGAAGTGCAAGAATCATGCACCAGTGAGTCACAGCACAGCACAAACATCATATAAGTCAATCTCTGCCCAATATATTCCCAGAACTTCTGCAAAGGAGAAATCTAAGGATATTTTCCTTAAAGGAAAATATTTATCTTTGTTCTTGAAATATCTCATTATGGATAAAAATATATGTGGAACTGTAAGATTAAAATGAGGTAATTAATCTCAGAATCATCATTAGAAGGCCACTGGCAACTTAATTTTTTTTTTTGGGGGGGAGGCCTTTTTCTTCCCTCCAGCTAGTCCTCTAAGCAGTTCTGAAAACAACATTAAATATGATTAAACATTACAAACATTCTTTCCCCTTCATCTCTGTACACTCCTCTACCTGCTGCCTGCTGGTTGTAACTGTAGGTCCTATAGTTAACACTATCTTAAAACTAAACCTGAAGCATGCACCAACACCACAAAGAGAACAGATTATACAGGAAGGAATATCAAATGCACAAAGAGAACACGTTTAAGAGTTTTTTTTCTTTAATATCTTTGTTAGTGATCTGTGGGTTTTCTTGCAACTTTAATAGCTACAAAATGTTCAGATAGCAGTTGCAAATTCAGTACTTCAGATTTCAGTTACTTTTAATATGATTTTAAAACATTTTTCTACCTAAGGGGCTCATTATTTGCAGTTCAACAGTGCTTCTTCACAGCTTTAGTCATACTTGAATATAAAGTGAAGCTATATGGCTCCATTTGTGATATCAAAAATTATTTTTAGAATAGACTGATATGCAACATGATTAAGAATAATTCACTGCCAATCAATTAAGATGAGCTGGCTTGTGCTTAAAAAGAAACTCCTGCTTAAATGATACAGGCCAGGGTTTCTCAAACTTCATTGCACCATGACTCCCTTCTGACAACAAAAATAACTATACAACTCCAAGACGGGGGACTAAAACCTGAGCCAGACTGAGCCCTTCCACCCTGGGCAGGGAACTAAAACCCAAAGGCATTTAATCCAAGGCAAGGGGCAGGGGGCCTGGAACCTGAGCTCTGCCAGCCAGAGCTGAAGCCCTGGGCCCCAGCAAGTTTAAGTCAGCACTTGCAATTCCATTAAAATTGGATCATTGACTACTTTGTGGTTTCAAACATACCTTTACTAAATGTAAACAAAATATATATCGTAGTGTTTTCTCTCAAATTTTCAGCTTCTACTGCTCATCCACTTGTTAAGAAGCAGCACTGTAAATTTTCTGTTTCAGTGCTGACATTCAGAACTCTGTAAACAACAAAAGTACTGACAAGAATTACATTCCAACTGCTGCTGTTCTTAGTTTTCCTACCTCTGGATAACGAATATTGTGACAAAGCTCCTACTTAAACTCGGTGGACCTTGCACTTTCAGGTGGATTTGCTTGCCTCATAGGCTAACAGCAGCCCTCAATTTTAGGCACCACACTAAGAGCATTAATTTGCTGTTTGCTGAGCTCTTTTCATCATTGGCCAGCGTATGGTATAAAGTTAGAATAAACGCCACAATCTTTTTTCCTGAGTGGAAATGGGGAAGTGAGTGTTGGGGGGGAACGTGGGCCCACCCTCTACTCCAGGTTCTAGCCCAGGGCCTTGTGAGTCCCTGACACCTGCTACAAGACCGTGGGTTACTTCTCCACACCTTCCCCAGCACCTTCCTTTTCTCCAGTTCATACTGTAGCCTTCTTGTGGAAAAGTTTATGCAAATGAAGCATAGCGTGGAATATTGCTGCCCTTCATTTGCATAATTAATTGGCAGCTGCTTTTGCTCAAAAAGGAGCTGTGTAGATGGCTCCTTTTTGCGCAAAAACCCCATCTTGTACAAGAGCCATTCTTCCTCATTTTTTTCAGGAAGAACAGCTCTTGCACAAGAGGGGCTTTTTGCACAAAAAACGAGCCTCGTTAATTATGCAAATGAGGCACGACAATATTCCATGCTTTGCCTCATTTGCATATTTCTTGTGCCAAATGGGCGCAGTGTAAACATAGCCCTAGTGTCCATTTGTCTTCTTTCCTTCTACTCCAAGCAGCACTCTCCTCCATCTTCTCATCTACAGAAACATATCAACAACTGCAAGCTCCTTTTATAGCCAGTCTCAGCTGGTTTCCCTAATTAACCCCAGGTGTCTTAATCAACCCAGGCTCCCCTGATACTGCAAGCTTGGTCAATTAAGCACAGGTGTTCAACTGCCCCTGACTGCCTCTGATGGCTCTAGACCAACCCCTCCCTGTTATCCTGGGAACAGAGATCTTCTCAGTCTGAGGCTAATGTCCCACCTTTCCACTCCTTTTTGTCTCTCTCTGATCTGACCCTACCACAATCTCTACTGTGCTTCCCCTCCCGCACCCTCTCTTCTCCAGGAGTGAGGGTGTGTTGGACTGCGAGGCTGTGTCTACACTGGCGCAATCTTGCGCAAAAGCGGCTGCTCTTGTGTAGCCAGACAGAGGCCCCCCCGTCACATCCATCTTGCTTGCCCCTCTGAGGTGCCTGGAGCACACAGGACATAGAGAGCAATAAAATCAGCATAGTCTTTGAAGCCTTGACAGAGGCCCGGATATGCTGGCTCATCTGACCCTGGATAACTGTAAACACAGATACGAGAAGGTGATCAAGCCAATAAGCTGCCCTAGAGGCTGTGAGCACTGCCCTTGGCTGGCACCTATGTAGAAACGATCACACGGCCGTCCTGGGGAGAGGAATCTCCCGTTTAGAAAAGAATGCCCAGTACTCCCAATTTAGTTCTCTCTCTTACAAGTGTAAATTAAGTTCACAACTCCCTTGTAAGAACTGGCATCACAAAGACGAACCAGCACCATTTGGCACCATAGATAAGAAAGAGAATACGTGACCCCACGGGTATAAAGATGGGTCCAGCAGCACACTCACTCTGAGCGTCAATCTACCATCTACCTGCTGGTCGGGATAGGTGATTGCCTACCGAGGTCCACAGGGATGCCCACCTTGTATTTGTCTTTCTGAGGAATCGAGGGACCAATCCTGGCCTGACACACTGGAATCGAGGGACGCAGAAGGGGGTAAAAATTGAACCTGTATGTGTCCTTTTGTTTTAGTGAATGCATAGAATAGAGCTCTTTAAAGATTAAGCTGTCACTTGGTACCGTTATTTTCTAACTTCCTTTTCCTTTGTAACCATTTTAAGATCTGTATTTGCTAGCAATTAAGAAGTAGAACAACAGCCATTGTAACCACGTTTTATAAGCCTTTTAATTAACCTGTAACTGTTTAAGCTTTTAACTGACTCCTCCTGTTGCTGTAACAGAACCAGACACAATCAAAAGAACTCTAGCCGGTCATAGGGGCAGACACAGGCAGAGCTGGGCATTTGGGTTCTTTTGCCTCCACGGGACAGACCCTTTGGGGCACCCGTCAGCCTTCCCTAGGCCACCTGCTGCAAAGGGAACTTGCGTCCTAGCAGTTAAAGACTCAGGTGTAATAAGTTCTTCCTGCAAACTTTGGGGTGCGCATCAGCCTTTTTGCTGCCCGCTGTGAAGGGACCCCGGTCCTAGCAGTTGAAGACTTGGGTGTATAACACACACACACACACACACACACACACACACACACACACACACACACACACACACACACCACGCAATGCCCTGACCATCGGCTGACATCTTGCACAAAAACTTGCTGCCGGTCTACACTGGCCGCGTGTTCTTGCGCACGTAAACTGATGTTCTAATGTATGAAATCAGGGCTTCTTGTGCCAGAACTCTGACACTCCCGCTCAGGAAGAAGCCCTTTTGCGCAACTGTTCTTGCGCAAGAGGCCAGTGTAGACAGGCAACATGAATTTCTTGCGCAAGAAAGCCCTATGGTTAAAATGGCCATCAGAGCTTTCTTGTGCAAGAGAGCATCTACACTGGCATGGATGCTCTTGTGCAAAAGCACATCTCTTGCGCAAAAGCACATGTCAGTGTAGACACTCTCTTCTGGAACAGTTTTTACAGAAGAACTCTTCCACAAAAGAGTTTTTGCATGAGAATGCGCCAGTGTAGATGTAGCCCTACTGTTGTGGCAGGCAGGCCTTGGCTGCCTACATTCTGGGCCAAGCCCTCTCCTGCTGTGTTTGCAGAGGACTTCTCTTCCTCTCCCCTCAGCTGGCTATTGGGGCTGCTGGGTATGTGGTGGTGGGGCTGCTGCTGCGCTGCCCCTGGATGGGGGAGGAGAGGAGAACCCCTTTTTTTGTAGAGTGGGGAGTGGTTCACCTCCGCCTGATCCCGCCTCTGCATTTGTGGTGCTGCCACCACCACCACCACCACTCCCTCCGCAGCTTCAGTTGCTGCAGGGACCCTTTTCCATTCTTGGCCCCACTGCTTGCCCCCTCTTTCTTTTGCTCTGCTGGATCTTGCAGTAGGTGTTGTGGGCCAGTTATTCAGATGCTTGTGAATGTACCTTCCCTACCCGCCACTAGCAGCAGGCCCTTTCTCGCTGCCTGCCCTCCCCCCTACTTGCAGCAGGCCCTTTTTCACTGCCTTCCCCCCTTTTCCTGTGTGCCCATTCCTCCCGTTTTTCTTTTGTTTGGCACCTGAGCCTCCCCTTCTTTCCTTAGTACACACACACACACACACACACACTCACTTACCCCATGCTGTTAATATAATCTACCCCCTCATCACCCCAGTGCAGCCGGAGGAGCCAGTCTTACCATCCTGTGCTGAGAGTTGTACCCCTTGTTCCTTTATCCCCCTCCCTCTTTATTGCTGCCCTCCCATCCCACTTCCACCCTAGCATAGGGAAGTGGTGAACCTTCCTCTTCCCTTTCCTTCCTTCTCAGGCATTTTTTAAAAATCTCTCCCAATTGTTGTTCCTGTCCTTCCTTCCTCGCCCATGACAACACTTTCAATGGAGGGGTTGTCTTGTGACACTCCTGACACCTCTTCCCCTCCCATCCACCTTTGCAAATACCGTCCTCCCTGAGACTTCCAGGCTACCTGTTGATACAACGGTGGTGGTGGGCATGGATGGGAATTCTTGGCCCGCCACTCATACTGCAGCACCTTTTGTTAGTGTCACCATTAAGAAGGCCTCCCTGAAAAGCAGGAAGGGTCAGGGGACCAAGAAGGGTAAAAAGCCCACCGGAAGACAAAACCTCCCTTTGTGGTGGCTCATCCCCCTGCCATTGCAAGTTTAGCAGCGGGGGGGATCCAGACTCAAGCCTCTGGAGGGCCTGGGCGTATGGATAACATTTTCCTCCGTTCCTCCCCAAATGTCACCCTACTGTCATTCCGCCCTGGAGAGGACTGTCAGTCCTGAGACCCCTTCCTCTGGGCTGCAAAGATCCTGCCCTCTACCAGCAGATACCAATCCAACTGCCACTGGTGTGGCAGAGAAGCTCTAGAAGGATCATTTCTGGTGCCCCACCAAGGAGCCTAGTACTGGGTATACTACACTGTGGGGGAAGCCTGGTGCTTTCTCTGCCAGGTGACAGGACACATCCAAAGGGACTGCCCTCTAGCCCAGCAAAGCACTCAGGACCCCTGAGGCCCAGGAGGGCACTATCCCTACCATAGCCAGTGGCCCTGACAGTCCGGACTCTGGGGTCACCCCTCCTCCATCCATGACTGTCAATCCCGTTGGGCTCCGCAGGGCCCAGACGAGCATGGGGGTGCCGCTGCCACTGTGATAAGTGCTAAGGCTGGGCCTATGGAGATGGCAGCAATGGCAGTGATGGGACTCAGGCAGGGCTTACCCCAGGGGGAGGTTCTTCCTTCTCCTAGGCTACATCTAGACTGCAAGCCTCTTTCATAGAACCATTGAGCTGGAAAAGACCTCAGAAGGTCATCAAGTCCAGCCCCCTGTTCTACGCAGGACCAATCCCAACTAAATCAACCCAGCCAGGATTTTGTCAAGCCGAGACTTAAACACCTCTAAGGATGGAGACTCCACTACTTCCCTAGGGAACCCATTCCAGTGCTTCACCACTCTCCTAGTGAAATAGTTTTCTAATATCCAACCTGGACCTCTCCCACCACAACTTGAGACCATTGCGCCTTGTTCTGCCATCTGTCTCTACTGAGAACAGCCTCTCTCCATCCTCTTTGGAACCTACCTTCAGGAAGTTGAAGGCTGCTATCAAATCCCCCCTCATGCTTCGCTTCTGCAGACTCAACAGACCCAACTCCCTCAGCCTCTCGTCATAGGTCATATGCTCCAGCCCCCTAATCATTGTGGTTACCCTCCGCTGAACCATCTCCAATGTGTCCACATCCTTTTTGTAATGGGGGGCCCAGAACTGGACACAATACTCCAGATGTGGCCTCACCAGAGCCAAATAAAGGGGAATAATGACATCTCTGGATCTGTTGGCAATGGTCCTCCTAATGCACCCTAATATGCCATTAGCCTTCTTGACTACAAGGGCACACTGTTGACTCATATCCAGCTTCTCATCCACTGTAACACCCAGGTCCTTTTTGCAGAACTACTACTTAAGCTGGTTGGTCCCCCGCACAGGACTCTGCACTTGTTCTTGTTGAACCTCATCAGATTTCTTGTGGCCCAATCCTCCAATTTGTCTATGTCACTCTGGACCCTATCTCTGCCCTCAAGCGTATCTACCTCTCTCCCTAGCTTAGTGTCATCTGCAAACTTGCTGAGGGTGCAATCCAT